CAAGATAAGAGATGAGAGAAAAGGGCAGCAGGCCTGATGTTGTGGCTTGACAGGACTGGTAATCAACACAAAAGAAAAATGGGACCTTTTGTCACTTAGCTTTGCTTTCCATTTGTTTGGCTTTCAAGGTTCTGGGTCTCTCCCCCCCCCATTCAGAAATTAGGCATAGCAGTGCTTGGCTGCTCCCTTCTACAGCTGTACATACATGTATGCACTAACTGCTGGAGCAACTATTTTCTATATGACCACCTGCCAATAAGATAGTATCAGGCATTGATTCACACAACCAAGATTTGGTTGTGCAAATGGTAATAATTCAGCTTTGGACACAGAGGAATTCCAAGGCATTGTAGTTGCCCTTGTTTCCTATCTTGCATGAGTCACCGTTTCTCTATACAACTGAAATTTCCAAATGCTGCCAGTGGGAATTCTGTCCTTGTTACCGTTAGTCTTCAAACTAGAACCCGTGTTTAATCTTGCTCTTTTTTCTTCTCCTCCCAGACCTCACCATCAGGCTCTTTGGCCTGAGTTTTGGCAATACACAGAACAGCGTCCAAAGACATGGGTGGGTGGTACCTTTCCTGGCCACTAAAATCTCACCAACAGAAGCTAACTTCGATTCTGTAGGAGTCTTATTCAGGCTGGGCATTATAGAGCTATGTCTGTGTGCCGAAGAAACATATAGCTTCCAAAATCCATGGCCAGATGTATGGGCTAGGCTTCCTTGTTCAATTCAAAATGGGGGCTGCTGCATCAGTTCAGAGGAGGCAGGCTTCAGATTTTGCCTCAGTGGATGTATAGATTAGAATGTCCCTCCACAAATGGTTACAAAAGGAGTTGCCAGTCATGCAGGTCCCCTCACAACCATGCCCTTGCCTTATATCAAAACACATCACTCCTTTTCATCTACAGAGGTACACAGAAGTGCAACAAACCCAATATCAGGGTAATCTGGATAAATATTAGTTTACAAACTGAATAAGCCAACTGCTGCCAAATTAAAAGTATTTCCATTGGGTTGGAGGAATATGTTGTCCAAAGTTCACACTTCTGCTTGCTTGCCATTGCTTATTTTCCCTCATGGCTCCCCTTTGACATAGGTTGCACAGATTTAGGAAGCACATGAGGCCTGGGAACTTTAAAGTTCATACTGAATCTGAATTCCTCTGTGGCATTCCACAACCAGGTTGATTGCAGAGTAGGGTATGAATGTCCTTGCTTTTAATGGCCTGGAAGTTTTTTTCTCTCCATTCAAAGCCATTTCTAGCACAGGAAGCAGGGGCCATTCCTATGAAGAGCATTTAAAAATAAGCATGCCAAAAGCAAATGGTGAAAGTGCCCCTGGGATGACCAATCTGAGGTCAGGACGAAAGCCAGTTGTGAGTCACAGCCTAGCAACTGAAAACCCCATGGATTAAATTATAATTTCCCCAAACGTATGCCCTTCAGATGTGTCAGATTACACCTTCCCACTTCCTATGCCTGTATGTCTCACACACAAATACACTAAACCAGTAGTTCCCAACCTTGGGTCCCGAGATGTTATTAAGCTAAAACACCCAAAAACTTTTACCACTAGCTGTGCTGGCCAGGATTTCTGGGAGCTGCCGTCCAAGATCACCTGGGTCACCCAAGGTTAGGAACCACTGAACTATTCTAATACTTATGTGTCATCAAGTTGATTCCAACTTATGCAACCTTTTCCCAGTTTATCTAAGTATAGAGTGTATATTCCCTTCTTCTGGGGATATATTGGTAGCTTGCCCAAGACCACATAGGCTGATTCATCTCTTATAAGGCACAGTGGGGAATTTAACTCTTGATCCTTGGCTCAACATCCAGGTGCTCCAGCTCCCTGAACTATCCAGCCAACTTTTTAATGATACGTTATTTTATCCAAGTATCTGAAGTGCTAACTTCAGACACAGAGAATGCTTGGTAAGAGCAGCCAGGGCGAAGGTGCTGACCTCTTGTGTTTGAGACTCTGTGCTAAATCAATTTTACACAGAACATATATTTATATATATAGTCAAAAAGAAACAGAAGATAGGGAAGACGCGACAGCAAGATATTCAGTGCATTGTAATAATATTTAATCCAGATGTTTGTTTCCAGTTGGGGTCTTTGGCCATCTAAATTCATAAAATCTCATGCATTCTTCAACATATACAATGCGTGTTACAAAGCCACCTTCCAACAGTAGAGCTGGCAAGATCCCAGACATTATTGCTTCAGTAAATGAGATTCCTGTGTGCTAGGCCCTCAGTGTATCAGGATATATATAATTTGTGTGTGTGTGTGTGCTCCAAACAGACATGACAAGCTCAGGAGACCCAGCAATAAGCTCAGGTCAGCCCCTTGCTCCAAACTCAGAAGAGGAAGCAGAAGGAAAAGGGAAAGTTATTGTGATGCACCAGGAGGAATATTTCTATCAGAGGGGAAGACTGTCATTTCCTGATAATTGAGTTCTCATCATGTTTCCTTCTGTCTACATCTCATTTCACCTCTATCCACTCAGAGTTTGGCTTCTCCTTCTACTTAATATGGCAGATGTGTGATCCAGCCATGTCTACCCTACCATATTTATAGATTGATTGAACATGCCTTGCCAAATAGCATTTGCGTATCTCTTTGTCCTCCTCACTGTTTTCCTCATGTTTTTTAATAGTCCTTAATTGCTCTCTGGGTGTGAAACAAACACCATACCCTTCAATACACTTATGTATGTTCTAGTTAACTCCTATGCATCTCTGGAGAAAGCCTTTGGAAAGGCATAAACAAAACCTTACAGGAGGCATAGCAGCTGGAACAACATGTGATTTAGTGTGGTTATGAGCACGAGAGAGGACAAAACAAGGCTTCTTTCATTGGAGACAATGTTCCATTATACACCTTATGAAGGAGAGGCTAGCTGAGCGCTGCTTTCTGCTAAAATCTAGCCACCATATTGTTTATACTGTTCATGAGATTATGAACATGAAGTGCTTGTGTGGTTATAGATATTAAGTATTATAGCCTATGCAAACTGACAGATCTCAATATTGCCACTAGCTAACTGTTACCATCATCTCTCAGATATACTGAGAGTTATGGAGTTGTATTGTACGTCTTGAGAACACATGTGTTCACCAAGACTATGCTTAAGTTCCCAGAAACTGATATCAGAATGAAAAGAAAATAATTCAAAATCTCACCACATCCTGAGATCATTTTGGTTTACCAAAGCAATGCTGCATTTTACTTTGCAAGTCGTACGGCAGTGGTCCCCAACCTTTTTGACACTCTAAGGTTTTGGTTTACCAAAACATTGCTCTATTTTGCTTTGTAAGTCGTACGGCAGTGGTCCCCAACCTTTTTGACACCAGGGACTGGTTTAGTTGAAGACCATTCTCTCAAGGACCAAGGGGTGGTGGCAGTCATCTCTCTGTGTGTATGTGTGTGGACATGCATGCATGTGTGCGCGTTCCTTTGGCCTTTGAAAATATATCTTGGCGGCCCAGTCCTTTCAAGGACCATGGGGTTGAGGAACCCTGCTGTACAGCATAGTTCAAAGATCAACATAAGCATGCTGAACCGGTCATCTGTGTGTGTGTGTATGTGTGTGCACATGCATACATGTGTGTGCGTTCCTTTGGCCTTCGAAAATATATCTTGGCAGCCCAGTCCTTTCAAGGACCACGGGGTTGAGAAACCCTGCCGTATAGCATGGTTCAAAGATCAACATAAGCATGCTGAACCATGATTAGTTTTGATCTCCTACTTGCAAGAGTAGTACTCAGCTGTGACAATGTATTATGGACCGGGCACCAAAAAGAAAAATGGATAATAATATAATACTTAAATGAGAATTGAAAGAGGACTAAAATGTGTGCAAGCTTTCAAGAATTGGAGATCCTTAAAGCTCGCACAAATTATTGTACCTTGTTCCTTAACATAAAGTTGTTACACAAATACGATTTGGGGCATTTTTTTCCCTTACATGTTCAACACAGCTATTTTTCCTTTTTTGTTCATACTGCTGAGTCATCATTTAGATACTTACATGCTTATGGGATCTCTTTCATAAGGGAACTTATCTACTCACAATATTAAATGAGAAGATTCCACTCATGGTGGTTTAGTGCCCTGCAATTATCTGTCAAATTTAACCTCCTTCTTCCTGCCCCATAGATACCATTGTCTGGTGATGCTAACATTTGAAAAAGTTCTTACTGTGTGTTTAATTTGTTTTAACAACGTAGCCAATTGCAGCACAGTAAATAAATGTGTCAAGCTAGGGGCTAGCTCACATATTCATTTGATTTAACTATATTTGAATAGCGATGGCCAAATTCATTCCCATTGAAAAGCACTACACCTGAAATGACATGCCAGTCCTAATCTGTGTTAACCCAATCACATCTGCAGACCATGATCTAGTTTTCCAGAAATCCAATATGGAAGATGTGTGTAAGGATCAAGCTAGTGGATTCTTCAGGCTTAAAAGAATGAATTCAAGCATATATGCTATAGGAATACATGGGTGAAAAAGCTGCCTGTGCAAATTTACAACAGAATACCCTGCATGTACATGAGCAAGACATGCTTCAAATGGCCCTTTCCTCTGCCTTCAAGGAACAGGGAGAGGCCACAGCAGAGTACACAGATGGCTACTTCAGAACATACATCGTAAAAGCCTGCTATCACCATATAAAGTTAGGAATTGTTCTGTATAGTGAGAGGGGCAAACCTTATTTTTCAGCTATCATACAAGAAATTAACTATTTTTGCCTGAGGAAGAAGCTAGTATCATGTGACAACATTAAATTGGATCAACCGGAAAGTCAAAATATTTTCTTAAGAATAGTGCCATTTGGATCCACAAACTAGACTCTAGAGCAGCCAATCTCAACCTTTTTTTTTTTGCCACAAACATAAATACAATATGAAAGAAATATAAACCAAATCAGGATTGTATACGTAAGTTGCATAATGAACCTTACAAGGTGATGTGTGAAGGATTGTTTCCAGTCTGTGGCTCCCTTCAAATGTGCCAGCTTTCCCCCCCCCAACCCCTGTTGAGAGTGGCTGTTCAAGAGCAATGAGCTTGGAAGATTCAGTATCACACACATTTGCCACAGATTCAGCATGTGGCCTTTGGCAGCTTACACACCTCTTGTTTTGCAGATCGATGCACAGCAGTTTCTAAAGTAGTCCGCATTACAGAAGTGCCAAAGACAGTAACAATCTGAGCTGTACATAAACTGTAGCTGAACATTTCCTGCTTTCTAGGTTGTGATGAATTTTGAAACAGAGAAGATGCTGATGCAAATAGAACCCTTTTCTTAATTCACTGACGAATTATGCTTCAGAGCGTAAAACTTGTAATGTCTTTTTAGCTCCCTGTGGGACTCATTGATGACAGGGAAGAGCCTTTTTAAAAAATAAAATACCTTATTTCCTGGAAGGAAAGAAATGCCTGTCTTGAAGAAACAGGCAGGCTGCAAGATGGGGGGGAAATGCCTGATCTTTATGTCATGTGGGAGGCAGGCAAAGTGCTCACTTACTTCCCATGCACAGTTAGCCCAGCTGACTCCACTTACCATGTGCACTGGATCATTTGCATACTGTATAGTTTTTGTGTAACTATGATAAGGTTCATTGTGTGAATAGGCTAGCACACATACTGAATATATTTCATACATGCAATGTTTACTCAGGCAAATGTTTTATATATGCCTGTGCTGTGTACAAACCAGAGTTTGGAATAATTTCTTTTTTGGGGGGGTTAAAACTCCCAGGATCCTCCTGTATGTGAGGAGGTTCTGAGAACTGTAATACAAAAAATTAATGGCTAAAAATCCTGTTGTGTAGTTACGCAAGCTCTGGAAGTAAATTTTCGTAAGTTAAGGAATCTCCAAAGACATTCTCTGTTGCCCTACTGAGTTGCATGCCACAAATACACTCTGTGGAGATTTCTTAGCTTACGTTAATTTGTCTCTAAAAGTTACAACATTTGTGCAACCTGGCAACAGGATTTTAGCCGTATTTCCAGGCCCTGTCAATCTCTGCATACACTGAGAGGTTGATACCACGCTCATGTCCAAGCTGAGAGCTCACCTCTGTGGGACTGGAGTACTGAACTAAATAGCCTTTTGGTCAGATCCAGCAGGTCTTGTCTTCTGTTTGATGTCATTGTGGACGTGCGGTTCTCAGCAAGGATGTCCTTTTCTTAACCATCCAATCCACTGAGGGAAATACCAGCTCAGTCATGCTGCTGATACACGGACGACAGTCCTGCCTCCAAAGCTGAAGTCTCACTCTTTTTTTCCACTATAAAAATATATCTACAGATGCTGGAAGCATGCCAGGGAAGTGAGAACAGGTGAGAGATGAGCAGGGTCTTTCAGTTCCTCTTGGGAGTGACACAGTAACAATCTCAGCTTAGTTCCCAAAATCTGTCTGGCTGAGGAAGATCCCTGAGAAAATGTCCACACTGCTGTCAGTTATGTGGTGGTGGTGGTGGTGGAAAGCCACCACATACAGGAAGGGCAAAATAGTGATCAGGGAAGAGCCTGAATCTCGCATCAAGGAGGAGGCGGGAAACAGAGAAATCACAGAATGGTTAGCTTTCTAGGAGTTAACTGTGGAATAGGCTCTATCATGAGATTCTTAGTCAACGACGGCTTAGAAGCTATGAACAGTTGTTTTGCCTCTTTTTGTTTTTGGCAAGGGGTTGTACCAACCCTGAGCAACAACCACACACACACACACACATACGGACACAGAGAGAACCCCGAGGGTACTCTAATACACAGACAGAAGGACACAACACACCAGCTTGGCCTCTTTGGCCAGAAAACGACATCGTATTTCCACGTGGTACGCATGCGACACAGAATTATCATCGGGCTGAGGAAAGAGCACTATGCCAAGATATAAAGAAAGGCCTGTAGGATAAGGCTGGTTGACATCAGTTGGCATCTGTTGCTGTGGAAGCGTGACCCAAAGACAAGAGTGGGTGTGGGCGAATCACAGCGATGTGGAAAGCTCCCTCGCGCACTTTATGCCACACAGCTGTCAGCAAAAAGAAAACCTTCAGAGGGAGTGATGTGGAAAAAACCCCAGACTGGAGGTAAATTTCCAGTCCTGACTAGATAGAACCAGGAGCACCACAAAGAAGATGGTACTCAAACCGATCCCCTCTTCCTTCTTCCATCCTTCAAATCAATGCTATCCTCAATCCATCCAGAAGATTCCGTGAAAGAGTGATTAACTAGCCAGATGCTCAGGTATGGGATAGACTAGAGCTTAAGGCAGGGCTGCCCCCCGCCTGTTGTTGATCTCTCTTTCTACTTTTTCATCTTGCTTGAGTTCTTTTTAGTCTATCTTCAGATTTCTGTGAGTATGTCAGCAGGCACCAGCCCCCGCTTTTTGCCACTTGTCACCTTGATGAAACCATCGCTCTCATTGGTCTTCCCCACACCAACACAGATCTGGGAGGAACAGGAGATGAAGAGCAGAACATTACCAAAAAGATCCGAAGATACACCCACCACAAAAGAAAAACTCTAGTCACATGAGCATCTGTAGCATAGAGGCAGAACAAGTCCCTTCTCATTTACTATGTAATCCAGAAACTCCTCTGCAGTCCAAGGTTGATCAAATTATTTAGGTGATTTACTAGAAAATCACTAAATGATAGCATTTGCCTGCCAAAAAAAAAAAATTAAGAAAAAATCAGCTGCAGCCCAGTTCCTGCCTCCTTTTGCCAAATAGCAGGGCTGACTGTCACCTACCTCTGGAGGCTCATGAATTTTGCTTCCTCCCCCCTTTCCCCCTCACCCATCCACCAAGTGCCCCTCTCCTGATTTGCATCCAAATTTACTGGATCTCATTTCCTTTTTAAAATTTGTGCCTAGACACTCTGCCTCGTACGTGCTTGAGATTAGTTTAAATTTGTTTGCTTGAAATGTATTAAGATGCACAGAAAGAATTATGTCGGCTGGCACAAGGCCCACTGGGATCAGATGCTGGCGTATCAGCCAGACAAATCAAGTGCCTCCCAGTAAATCATTAGCGGGTCTTTGTTAGTCCAAGAGGGAAGGGAACTTGGAATGCACAGAGGGTTAGATTCAAATGCTACAGTGATAACCACTTGAGGATGTGAATTCCTGTTGGGAGTGTAATACATGAATATCCAGTTCATGGTTCCCGCAGCAGATTTAATGACGGCTCTAATGTCATGACTAGGGTGAAAGGGAAAGTATCCTATGTGCCACAAGGACATGAACTGATATCGCCAATAGCACTAATATGTCTGTGAGGCAGGATATAAGGCACTAATGATGCTGTACACTGTGAGGAGATGGATCACTTCACCAAGTTGTGTTACCCTCCCTGAAAAGCCAGAGGAATAAAAAGCAAAAAAGCAAAGTGTGCTGCTTATATACCACCCCATAGTGCTTCGAGCACTCTCTGGGCAGTTTACAAGTTAATTATGCAGGCTATGCATTACCCCCCCCCCCAGCGAGCTGGATATTCATTACAAGTTAATTACGCAGGCTACACATTGCCCCCCCCCAGAGAGCTGGGTATTCATTTTACTGACCTTGGAAGGATAGAAGGCTGAGTCAAGCATGAGCCGGCTACCTGGGATTGAACCCCCCAGCTCGCGGGGGAGGGGCAATGTGTAGCCTGCATAATTAACTTGTAAACTGCACAGAGAGTGCTTGAAGCACTATGGGGCGGTATATTTATTTATTTATTTATTTGATTTATATCCCGCCCATCTGGTATATTTATACCACTCTGAGTGGCTAAGCAGCACGCTTTGCTTTGCTATATATTTGTGGGACTGTAATTGTTTGGGGGTCTTAGATGTGAATAATATTCCAGTCAAAGCCAGGGGACACATGGCCCCAGAGGCTTATTGGAAAGAGTAAAGGTGGCAGATGTGATTCATCCAGAGATGTATCGGCAGAGATAAGAAAAGTCACTTTTTTCATACTATGATTGCAGAATACCCCAATCAGCATTGTCACTGATCATGCGAATACTGGTCTTCCAAGAGCTGTACTCAAAAAGCCAACTTTTCTGATCTGTTGGTATTAGACGGCCTCTTCTGTGAGTAGGCACAGGATCTTTGTTTTAATTTTTTTGGGGGGGGGGTTGCTTTGTTCTTTGTTTGTTTGTTCTGTGATACACTAGCATGTCTCTCATGTTGCCTAGTTTGAAATAATTACAACTGACTGTGTTTAAGCTGATTGTTGTTTGCTTGGCTTTAAAATAAATGCTAATGAAAAATTAAATACAATGAAACAAATAAATAAATAAATAAATATGGAATGGAATGGTAATGCTCTCTTTCCAAAACAAGCAAGGCAACCACACCAGTACTTTGCTAGCAACAGAGTACAAGCCAAAGATGTGAAAATAGTGTTGTCAAGCCAGCATATCAGATCATGTAAACAGACCACTTTCCAAGCCAATTTAGTCATATGACTCTGACTTGGGAGACAGTGTTCACATGTTGTTGTTGTTGTTTAGTCATTTAGTCGTGTCTGACTCTTCGTGACCCCATGGACCAGAGCATGCCAGGCCCTCCTGTCTTCCACTGCCTTCTGGAGTTCAAGTACAACAAAGAATGCTTAAGAGTGAAAATGAGATCCATGGGAATTTTAATTAAAACAACAAAAACTAGAAACTCACTTTAATTTTTTTTTAAAGTGATGCTTGGAATTTTCAGCTATCTAATGCATGAATGCCTTAAAGACACAGAGAATATGTACAGTAGGAGTAAGGAACATTTGTTGTTGTTCTTGAGGGTACATATATTTCCTTACTAATAGCCCTTTGAACCGTATACTAATGTGGACATGGCTCCCTCTTCTTTCTTCTTCTGTCATGCTATTTTTTAATCTCTCTTTCTGACACTCCTTCTACTCAGCAGCTGCAAAGGGAAGAACAGGGTGTTTCTGCCAGAGGTCTGAATGGTTTGACAGCAGGGGCTTTTAATCTTTGGCTGAAAACCATAGAGTTGTGGGTTAGAGTTGCCCACCCCTGCCCCACCCCTGCCATGTGGGGTGTTGGCTCCTACCTGGTTTTCCTTAAGACTGAGCTGCCCTTGCTCCTTATTGCCACAGAAAGTCTTGCCACATCTCCACACTGTTTCACCTGGACGAACCCGCTGTACAAAATTGGCTGGGAAGAAGCCCATGCGATCACCCATCTTCCCCTAGAAAATTAAAACAAAAAAATAACAAGCCATTGTTCACCTCATTAATTGCATTTGTGTGCAATTTTAAGTGTAATGTGGTTTGCACACTTTAAATAACCATTAAAAGTATTAAAATTCCTTATAAAAAATAAGTGACAATAACCACAGTTCAAAAATATCACCTAAAATCGCCAGGGAAGTAAAAAGCAGTCATGATTTTTGATGATGATGATGATGATGATGATGATGATGATGATGATGATGATGATGATGCACTGTCAAGTCAATTCTGTGTTATGGTGACCCTTTTCAGGGTTTTCCAGGTACAGAAGACACATACGTGGTCTACTATTCCCTTCTTCTAGGGGTGCCCTGGGACTGCGCAGCTTGCCCAAGGCCACACAGGCTGGCTCTTATCGCAGGAGGCACAGTGGGGAACTGAACTCCCAACCTCTAGCTCCACAGCCAGATACTTAAACCACTGAGCTATCCAGCCAGACACCAGCAGGATGATTTAGGAAATGAGGACAAAGCTGTATGGCACACAAAGCTCTGTCCTTTTAAGAGAAAAAGATAATGAAGAGGTTCAGCAGGAACAGCTGGGAAGGCTGGCACTTTCCAGACTTCCTCTCAGCATCTGTCACCTTAGGTGGCTGCCTCCATGAGTTTCCTCTTGGAGTACATGCCAAGGTGTTAGTTTAAAAGCCGCATTAAAGTTCTGATTAATCAGGGAAAAAACCAGATGTATGATTCCTATAGTAAGACAGGAGGTTAAAGCTACATTCATCAGCAAGGCTACCAACACTCTGTATATACAAGTATTTTGCTATCCTATTTTTCAATCGCTTCTTTCTTCTGGTTGCCATGAAAAGTCCTGCAGCATCCCCGGACTCTCTCACCTGGACAAACTTGCTGCACAAAATTGGCTGGAAAGAAGCCCGTGTGATCAACCATCTTTCCCTAGAACTTACTCTTCTAATGAAAATCTATATATGGAAGTATATAACGTTCAGGATTCTAACTTGGATGCTTAGCGTTAAAAAATACTTCACAGACTGCACTTTAGCCATCTCTGCCTCACATTTGAATATAAGTGCACACATTGGCTGAAATCCTGTTGCGTACCCCCCGTGTGCAAAACAGAGATGACCTCATTCTTAGGGGAAAATTGCACTTGGTTAAAGGCAATTTTGGAGTGTACATGACTCATACAAAATGCAGTGAAGTCACATGCATCCCAAAATCACCAAAGGAAGTCTATAATCAGGGACACCATCCCCGTTGTAGGCACGTGGAGATGCACAATAGGATTTCAGTCACTAATTACACCTTTGTTGATATATTTTAGACAGGCAGGAAAGACCATTTTTATTTCACCAGACTTTGGATAGATTTTATTTGTACACTAACTTTGTCAGCTATTTCTTTACTTTCTGTTTGTAGTGGTTTTACTGTTCTCATTTTTATTGTGTTAAAATTGTGTGTTATTGTTTGAATGGAGTCCTAGAGAGAGGCCCTTGAAAGGCTATGAATACACATCTATGTTCATAAAACAATAAGACAGCTGCCTCTCACACTTGATTTTATACAACAAAAGACAGTAGAGGAAAACCTCCTTGATAACTTAGAGCAGGTGCTCCTTAAAATTCTGCCTTTGAACCTCATAAGGTTATTCCTCTGTTTAGAGGAAGATTTTCTGAGGTTTTGTCATAGTCAGATGCTAGTGGTTTGGATGCACTGAGATTGATGCAAATGGTCTTGAGTAGACTGACAGTAATATTCTTAAGGAGGGAAATATCTGACTGGATTCCTCAGTGGAATTTGCTTTTTATTGCAACCTCTGACCCCTTAGGCATAATGCTTAATTTCCAAAAGCCAGACAAATGGATGTTATGTGAACCTATGTGTTCTTTCTTTTCAAACAAATACTTTTCAGATTGCTTTTTATTGTCCCTTGCTATTTATTTATGTTTAATTTTTTTTGGGGGGGGGGACCAGGCACAATACCCAGTCAAATCTGCAAGCCTACACTTTCTAACTGTGTATAGGTTGCTTAGGGTTGCCTCAGGGCTGACGGAAAAGAAACTTCCATATGATCAGAGGCACATTCTCCTATGCAATTTCTTCAAGGCTGAGACTCAGCATTTCAAGCAAAATACCAGCATTTTACCTCCTATCCTCAACAATAGCTCTTTTGCTTTCCAACATCACTTGGTGTTAAAAAGCAAGAGCAGCATCAGATAATGTTGAAAATTAAATGCCTCCATGAGCTTATCTTGGAATGGCAAAAAAGAGGTAACAAGGTGCAAGGTTCTGTCCTATTTGCTCTGTCCTCTGACTCTTTATGTGTCTCTCTGGGCAGACGGAAAGCTTTGGAACTGTGAAGGATGCTCTTGGAATCAGCCTCGTTGCTATGGCAACAGGGACAAGTAACCAGATGTGTGACTAACTGGCTCAGAGGCCAAAGCTTTTTCCTTGAGGGCCGACAGAGTGTGTCTGTGCATGTGCATCTAGGTGTGTGCATGAAAGTGCACAGGTGTGAGAAAGAATACAAAATGGAAGAGGGGGAGAGTGTAACTTGCACACATGAACGAGGCAAGAGAATGGTGTTGTGTGCAGGTGTATGTAGGCCCGTTAGTATATAACCTTCCCTTACTACAGATATATTAGACTACAATTTTCACCTGGCTAAGAGTTAGTGATCCAACACATCTAGAAGACACCAAATAATGGGTGGTAATATAAGAATGCATGGGAATGAACATATAATGCAAAGACATGAATGTCTGACTGAAAGTGACCAGGTCCAGAAGCCAAAAAAGGGTCTGCTCAGAAGACATAACATCACCAAGATGGCCAAGAGTCACAAAGTCAACCTCTATCTCTCTGGGATGTTATCTACCTGTAATTGGTTGACTGACCGAACCCAAAGGGTGATCACAAATGGCTCCCCTTCATCCTGGAAAGAGGTGACTAGTAGGGAGCCCCAAGGTTCTGTTCTGGGTCCCAAGTTATTCAACATCTTTATAAATGACTTGAATGAAGGAATACAGAGTATGTTGATTAAATTGGCAGATTACCAAATCGGCGGGGGTTGCTACCCCATTTCCCCTAAAATAAGACCTAACCGGAAAATAAGCCCTAGTAGGATTTTTCAGGATGCTCATGATATAAGCCCTACCCCAAAACTAAGCCCTAGTTAAGTGAAACCCCGCCCTCCACCATTGTGCAGCAACCAGAAGAAGATGACATAAATGTATTTGAATAAATATAGATTGTTGTAAATAAAAAAAATAAGACATTCCCTGAAAATAAGCCCTAATGCGTTTTTGGAGCAAAAAATAATATAAGACCCTGTCTTGTTTTTGGGGAAACAGGGTAATTCCCCAGAGGACAGGATTAAAATTCAAAATGACCTTGACAGATTAGAGTCCTCAGCCAAAACTAACAAAATGAATTTCAACAGTGAGAATTGTAAGGTCCTACACCTAGGCAGAAAAAAATGAACTGCACCGATATAGGATGGAAGATACCTCGCTAGACAACAGTACCTGTGAAAGGGATCTAGGAGTCTTGGTAGACCACAAGCTGAACATGAGTCAGCAGTATGATGTGGCTGCCAAGAAAGCCAATGCAATTCTTGGTCATATCAATAGGAGTATAGTGTCTAGATCAAGGGAAGTGATAGTACCA